GTGTGCCCAAGATCCCAGGAGGATAATGGAGGAGAAGGGATTGCGGTGTGACCATTCCCCCCTGGGGGGTGATTTCTTGCTTTCTGTCTCTATGTCTCTCTCTGTCTGTCTGGCCAGCGCACGCGCCCTATAGCGAAAACCTCTCCAAAAAAAAAAAGGATCAAATTGACCTGCTAGAGAGGAAGGTTATAATATAAGAAGTAAAAATCTTCCTTGAAAGTATTAAAAGCAGAGTAGATCATACAGAAAATAGAATCTCAGACATAGAAGAGAAAATTGCTGGCCTTGAAAATTCCACCACGGGGAACCAGCAGTTAGCGTAATTACTGTGTCGCTGGACTCCCATGTAGCCGACCGTGGTTCACGTCCCGGACCCAGTGGCTTGAAACTCACGCTGGGCGTGTGTGCGTGCATGCCCAAGGTCCCAAGAGGAGAATGGAGGAGAAGGGATTGCGGTGTGACCATCCCCCCTGGGGGGTGATTTCTTGCTTTCTGTCTCTATGTCTCTCTCTGTCTGTCTGACAAGCGCACGCGCCCTATAGCGAAAACCTACCCCCCCCCAAAAAAAAGCCACAATAAAAGAACTTTGCCAAACTGAGTAATCTCATCTATCACAGTTATTAGCAGTTTCCTAATGCAGCCCACATGTGACTATGTCACAATATTGGCTGATATTTGGTGAAATTTTGGTGTTCAAAGCACCCCTCATTGATCCTCTTAACACTCTTGGGAAGTGTGACTCCAGGTTCTCTCCCATTTGTCCAAGTCCCATACTGAGAGAGGTTGTATGACTAGCTCAAGGTCACACAATCAGAAACTGACCAACTCCAGGCTCTAAAGCTACTAGTGGAGTATTTCTAGCTGTATTCTAGCGGAATTTCAGAGAGGGATTTTCAGGGTATTATTTTCTCTGCCAGTTCCAATCTTAAGGATCTAAGCTTTTCCTGCAGGGAATAGCTGTAGAATAAATATCCTGATGAGTTTCCAAATCTGTATGGTAGTAAATCTCCCAGACTTACACAAGGTTTGGGAAGGAAACTGAGGCCTGGAGACTTTTAGTGAGTGACTGGCAAAGGTGGTGGACGTGCTAAATCTGGAGAAGTGGAGAGGGGGATACCTCCTGTCAGCCCAACACCCAAAGAAAGGCCAGAACCCATGTGCACCTGAGGTGGATCTGGCCCTACCCCTTTAATGGGAAAAAGCCTCTGTTCCCAAACCTCTCCTTCCAGCCCAACACACAGCGAAAAGCCAGGTTCCTTGGTGAAGATCAGGGAAATCGAACTGCAGAAAAATTGCAGGCCATCTCCTTCCACATGCCTTTAACACTCAGAATTAACTCTAAGAAGGTAGGAAATTATATATAATCCATCAGATAACCAGAAACCACCACCACAGAGGCACAAGGAGTATGGGAAATCAAGAAAATTTCTCTTCCCCAGGGGGAAAGAACAGCCCTTCATCATCCACAGAGAGTACAGTGGAACTCATGGAAATGTCAGATAAAGAACTTAGGATATTCATAGTGACAAAGCTAACAGAGATGCAAGAGAGACAACGAACTCCAGAAAATGCAGAAGAGACGAGTTCCAAGAGGTGAGGAAGTTCTTCCACGATCTGAAAGAGCAGATACACACCATAAAAAAGAATCAAACAGAACTGTTAAAGATGAAGGCTATAATATAGGAAATCAAAACCTCCCTTGAAAGTATTAAAAGCAGATTAGATCATGCAGAAGATCGAATGTCAGATGTAAAAGATAGAACCACTGACCTAGAAAAATTCACCAAAAAGACTGAGAAAATAATCCCAAAACAATGAGAATAATATATGTGTAATACTAGATACTTTTAGATGCCCAAACATCCAGATAATCGGTATCCTGGAAGGAGAAGAAACTAATCAGAGCATTGAAAATCTATTCCATGAAATCCTGGAAGAAACCTTTCCAAACCTAGAGAGGCATTCAAATATCCAGATCCAAGAAACACAAAGGACCCCACATAGAATCATCCCCAGAAGATCTTCTCCAAGGCGCATCATAGCCAGATTGATCAAAACCACAGGCAGAGATAAGATCCTAACGTTGGTAAGAGAAAAACTTCATGTTACTTTCAAAGGATATGCTGTCAGGCTAATGTCATAAACACTGCAAGCAATGGGAAAATGTATTCAAAGTTTGAAGTGAAAAACAATTCCAACCAAAAATACTATATCCAGTAAGACGATCCTTCATGTGGGAGGAAAAGATAAAAACATTCTCAGATAAACAAAATCTGAAAATTTACCAACATTAGACCAGCTCTTCAAGAAGTTCTGAAGGGAGTTCTATACCAGGGAAACTAAAGACAGACTAATTAGAGACCAAAAAAATGACCAAGAGAAAGGCCAAGTTAATGATATGGAAAAGTTCTGAAATATCAATAATAATGTTGAATGTTAACGGGAAAGTCAGACCACACTAACACTGCAAGTTCAACGGAAGATTACACTAGACTGAACTGGAGAAATAGAATTCTATGACTTTTTCCTAAAACATTACTGATTTTGTTCTATTCTTCATCTTCCAGATTTAAGGATTTTTGTTTTCTTTCTTTCTTTTTTTTGGGAGAGGTTTTCGCTATAGGGTGCATGCGCTCGCCAGACAGAGACAGAGAGATAAAAAGCGAGAAATCACCCCCCAGAGGGGATGGTCACGCTGCAATCCCTTCTCCTCCATTCTCCTCTCGGGATCTTGGGCACGCACGCACACGTGCCCGGCGTGAATTTTAAGCCCCCGTGTCCGGGACACGAACCGCGGTCGACTACGTGGGAGTCTAGCGACATACCCATTACGCTAACTGCTGGTTCCCTTTTCTTTTGAGTTGTTAAGTCCAGCAATTAGTTAAAAAATAATTTTTTAAAATCGAAACAAACTTTTCTCCCTTCCTGACCCCTTTGCAATAGGAAAATATTTGTGAGCATTCTTATTTTGTGGCAGAATTGTTATTTGTGTAAGTTCAATAATACAATAGTGCATGTTGTCTAACATCCGAAATTGAATTCTTATGGGACTTTGTGCAAATAATAGACCAAATTGAGATTATTATTATTTTTTTTTTTGTAGATAAGTTAGTTTAGACCTCTCTTTAGTAAAAGGGGGAATGGAAAGACAAAAATGTTTCAGAAGAAAATTACAGTGCACTTGTCCCTAGATTCTAGTTTTGCCCTTACTTTAAGATTTTTTTGTGAATCAATAAAATGTGAAATGAAAAAAAGTTTAGTTTGGAAGAGAGAGAGGAGAAAGAGGAAAGAAAAAAATGTCAGAAATGAGAAACTATTTGCTGATGATAATGTATATAGTAATATCCTTGTCTTGACTGATATGCATGATATTTGTGTTAGAAAAAGAAATGTATACTGTAAAGATGTGATAAAATGTAAATTAACATTAAAAGAAGTAAGAAAGATGTTTAAAAAAAATAAGTGGCTGGGGGGGCTAGCAATTCCAGGAAATCCTGGGGGCCTTAGTACCATTGTTGGGACTAGAATCCAATCTTCTTAATTTTGGACCAAGCTCGCAGGGTTAGCAACATCTGAAGCTCAATTTCTATTATTGCTTCTTTAATAATTCATACTCATTTTTTAAAAATAAGTTTGTATGGTCGGCCAATGGCATAGTGGTTAGGTTGCGGGATTCCCACGTGGTCTACCATGGTTCCAGTCCTGGACTTGGTGTCTTGAAACACCTGTCAGGTAGGTGCATGTGCGTGTGTGCCCAAGATCCCAGGAGAAGAATGAAGAAGGGATTGCACCATGGCCATTCCCCCTGCGTGTGTGTGTGTGTGTGATTTCTCACTTTGCCTCTCACTGTCTTTCTCTCTGCCCCACCCCTTACCAGTTTGTTTATTTGTTTAGAGATACCACACCCCCAATGGAGTCTTGACACTGCAGTTGCCCTCAGTCTTTAGTCAACCCCAGATTATAGGCTGGTGTGTGCCAGGGGTACTCAAGGAAGTCTCCAGATCTGAACCAGGAAACTTCCTGTGTGGGATTGCCTCTCAAAGTGTTGTGTTTTATCACTAGACCACCATCCAGGTTTTCATAGATTGTCTTTTATTCAGCAAATATGTCATGTGCGCCTCCTTGTCACCCATGCTGTACTGTGAAGGTTGAAGTAATCAAGGGGAAAAACACTGTCTCTGTTTTCATGGATTATGGTCTGGCATGGGGTCCTCGCCCTAGTAAACTCAGTAAAATAGTGTTAACCTTTGGTCTTTCTCTTCTCGTTTTTATCATTCAGATAATTTGTAGTAGATAATAAAATGTAGAGAGATAATCTGAGATGACATAAATACTCCTATTTCTCATCAACCTTGCCCCCACTGGTTTTAGTGTCCATTGATAATTTTCTGAGCCCACCGTTCCTTCTGTATAAGAGCTTTTTTTCTCTGTCTGATTTGTATTGCAGTAAGGGTTCATGGATTCTTCGTTGTTCAATGGGTTATTTGTTGTTTTCATGATTGATTTTGATGCTCAAAGCTTCATGTTGACTTCTCTGTCCTCATGATTCTTTGAATGTTTCCTTATTTTGTGACAGAGGATGTTCATGTCCCATCTTGTACTTTCTCTGCCCCAACCTAGTAGTCAGCCATTTCTTTAAGGAGTCCTGGTTCCTTTTAGGGGAGAATGGTATTGAAAATGAAGATCTGGGCTCTGGAGTGTTCCCAGCTATTGGTGTGTCATTACTTTTAGGCCTTTTAGTGGGTTAGGGAGCATGTGTGTGTGTGTGTGTGTGTGTGTATAAAGCACATGCTTAAATTTTTCTATAGCTCTCTATATTTAGAATGTAAATTTTTGTAAAACCCATGGATGTGTGTATAAAGCACATGCTTAAATTTTTCTTTACCTCTCTATTTAGAATGTAAATTTTTATAAAACCCATGGGGTTAGGATTCTGTTGTACTTTAACATAAATGTTTAATTTTGAACATATGTCACTCTTTTTTCCTCTTAATTTCTAACAGGTGGCTAAACCCCTTGTTTAAAATTGGTCATAAACGGAGATTAGAAGAAGATGATATGTATTCAGTGCTTCCAGAAGACCGCTCCAAGTACCTGGGAGAAGAGCTGCAAGGGTAAGCAAGAGGCAGTAAAGAGAAGGGTAAGGAAGAGTGAGAATTTCTAAGTGTGTGGCCAGTGATTTGGAATGGGTTTCACCTTCTTGGGGCCCTTCTGCACCCCCTGCTCTGCCAATATGCCACATCTTCCTCAAGCTGTTACTGGATTAAGCCTTCCTTGGTGACCTGGGGGAACCTGTCTTTCTTATCCTTTTGCAGGACTAGGGTAGCCAAGGCCAAAGGCCTTGGGTGCCTGTAGCCTGTCTCTGGAGGTGGTATTCCTGGAAGAGGCTGCCTGGCTTGTCTACACGCAGCCTTCTTGGGCTATGCATGGTGCTGGAAATCCAGCAAAGCTTGAGATCCCCTTTAAGGCCCCTTAACTGGTGCCACAGACTTGGTACCACATGTCTTTCAGGAGCCCTTTGAGGTGGTTTCTGGGATGGCCACAGCATGCCCTATGACAAGTGCTTATCTGTCACCCCGCTACCACCCCCATGTACCATATGGTAGGGTGTCCTTTTCCTCACTGAGCTTTGTTTCTCCTTGTAGGTACTGGGATAGAGAAGTCCTGAAAGCTGAGAAGGATGCACAGAAGCCTTCTTTAACAAAAGCAATCATAAAGTGTTACTGGAAATCCTATTTAGTTTTGGGCATTTTTACCCTAATTGAGGTAAACACCTTTACCTACCTGAATTGTTTTTCAATATTCATGAAGTAAATACATGAGATATGATCAGTATTGAAGGAAACATGGGGAGTCAAAAGGAGAAGAGGCCCGATACATTTTGAAAATATGTGAAGGTGTGAGCATGAAATACATCTAGAAACATGATGTAGTTAGCACTTGAATTTATGTAGAGGATGGTAAACATTAAAGTGACCGAAGCTCAAGGGCATTATTATTTTTCTTTAATAAATAGTGCCGTAGAGAAGGATAGTGCTGAGAAGAAAAGGTCCATTAGACCATTGCTATGGACAGTGCTTGTGTTCAGTGAATGTTACACATGCTAAGTTGTCCTCAATTAAATGAGAATCCTATAACCTCAAGAGCTTTATGCCCTTTGGTTTGAAGGAGGTAAATTTGGATTAAAGCCCAGAATAATAAAAGAGGGTTTACAGGTGCTCAGCAAATGAATGGTAGCTTAGCCATGCCAGATCTGATCAATGCTTCCCAGGAAGGTATTGGGCTCCGGGTCCTTATCTGGGCTAGCTGTGGTGTCCCATAGGCCAGATCTGGCTGGGGCTCCCAGGAGCTATTCCCTTCCCAGTGGCTGTTTGCTGTAAGCCACAACGTCCTCGGTGGAGGAGGTCCACTTCCGGGTGGACACCTGTGAGTTCCTGTGCCATCCATGCTTGTTTTTTTTGTCATCCTCGGTCCTTGGGTGGGTTGTTGCTTATAGGGTGGAGTCTTGGTGGTCTGGCATTGCAGAATATGAATATGAGTATTTGGTGGAAAAACAAAGGCAGAAAGCCTTGAGGTCAGTGACCTCCATTACTTCAAAGGGCTTCCATTGATGTCCTCCTAGAAGACAGTTAAGAGATGCAGGTTAAGGGGCTGGCTTGGGGCTTGCGTAGGGTATAGATAAAGTTTGTTTCTTTCATGAGTGAAGGAGACAGACAGACAGACAGAGCACGCATGCACCCAACAGGGTCTTCTCACTGTGATACACCTGCTGATTCAACCAGCCTGACTGTGGGCACACACATCCCAGCACAGACAGGGAAGTGTCCAGACTTGAGCCTTCTTGTATGGGTCACCCCTGCAAAACATTAGGTTTTACTGCTGCACAACTGTTTGGCCCCTTTCTGCCCATCTTTAACCTGTGCCGGGGTGTCTTCTACATGGCCACAATATGTCCAGTTAGACAGAAGTAGGGTGACAAGCTGGTGGCCTCATGGTCTGTGAGTGCAGGACTTTCTGCCCAGATGGGACCATGAAGCTTCAAAGTGGAGGTCTCTCCAGGGATCCATATGTCGGGTAGCCCTGGAGCCTCACTGTGGGCCCATGGCCCCTACCCAGCACCTGGGGAGTGTAGGAATGATGGCCTCAGAGTGGTCACCCACAGCTGTTGAGTCATCTCTTGCAGCAGGCCTTCCTCTGCTGCACCTCGATTCTCTGGTGTGCCTTTGTTAACAGCCATTTGTTGAGAACAGGATGATCATAATGGTGGCTCCTGTGATGGGATTTGAACTAAATTTCAGGTTACTCTTGCTGTCTGGGCTGCCAGCTCCTTGGGGAGGGGGGGTGGGTCTCTAAGCCCCAGATAATGACTGGAGCCCATCTCAGAATGAGTTGTGATTCTTGCAGGGCAAGCTTCTGGCTGAGGTACACACAGAGGTAGAGGCTGTGGAAGCAGAGGGGACAGGCCCTGCCATGGTGCTGGGTGCATTGATTGCAAGGTTGTCCAGCACCAGTAATATTGCTGTCATGGAGGCTTTAGGGCCTGGGGGAGCTTAACATGGTACAGATGGCTGAGTGCTGCCTCTCTTGTGGGAGGTTGGATATTGGTAGTTATGGCAGAAAAGTAGAGAGCAGGGTAGCTGGTAGACCTTGGGGCTTGTACTCAGTAGTTGGACTAGATGTGGCAGCAACAGTAGCAGCAGCAGTGTGGGGGCTCATACTGGGTATCAGTAGTTCTACTCCTCAGTGATGGTAATGGTACTACTCCTCAGTGGTAGTGATAGCACTACTCCTCTGCAGTAACAATAACAGTATTCTTCAGCAGTAGTGATAGCTCTGCTCCACGGCAGTAGTAATAGCACTGCTCCCCAGCAGTAACAATAGCACTACTCCACAGCAGTAGTAACAGCACTGCTCCTCAGCAGTAACAATAATAGTATTCCTCAACAGTAACAATAGCACTACTCCATGACAGTAGTAATAGCACTAGTCCTCAGGGGTAGTGATAGCACTACTCCTTTGCGGTAACAATAACAGTATTCCGCAGCAGTAGTGATAGATGTGCTCCACGGCAGTAGTAATAGCACTGCTCCCCAACAGTAACAATAACAATATTCCTCAGGAGTAACAATAGCACTACTCCATGACAGTAGTAATAGCACTAGTCCTCAGGGGTAGTGATAGCACTACTCCTTTGCGGTAACAATAGCATAACAGTATTCCGCAGCAGTTAGATTAGATGTGCTCCACGGCAGTAGTAATAGCTCCCCAACAGTAACAATAACAATATTCCTCAGGAGTAACAATAGCACTACTCCATGACAGTAGTAATAGCACTAGTCCTCAGGGGTAGTGATAGCACTACTCCTTTGCGGTAACAATAGCAGTATTCTTCAGCAGTAGTGATAGCACTGCTCCATGCAGTAGTGATAACATTGCTCCACAGCAGTAGTAAATAGCACTGCTCCCCAGCAGTAACAATAGCACTACTCCATAGCTGTAGTAGTAGCACTGCTCCTTGGCCGTAGTAATAGTTCTGCTCCTCAGCGGTACTAATGGCTCTGCTCCTTGGCAGTCTGACACTGCTCCCTGGTCAACCTGAGACAGACTGTGTGTGTGTACCCAGGAGCCATGACTAGAGGGCTGAGGAAGGGATCATGGCATGATGAGACCCTATTGATGGCAGGTGTCTCAAGAAATAAAATAAACTTAAAGAAAATAATTGGATTAATGGAGAAGGCTGTTATTTCTTTTTTTAAAAATTTATTTTGTTTAACTTTATTATTTTTACTATTATTTTCCAGTTTGATCAGAGAGAGAGAGAGAGAGAGAGAGAAAGAAAGAGAGAGAAAGTGAGAAAGCAAGCCACCACGTTAGAGAGACAAAGAGAGAGAAACCAAGCCAGCAGGTCCAGGAGTCAAACCGCAGTCGACCATGTGGGAATCCCACATCCTTAACCATCACGCCACCTGCCAGCCCCGAAGGCTGTTATTTTACCATCATAAATTTAGGGTGCTTGCTGATCTGTATATTTTAGTTGGTAGGAGATCTAAACCCAACCTAGCATTTTGTGGCAAACATATGTGTTTCCTTAATGACCTTGAGCTCCTTTTAAATTCCTCGACGTAGAGGACACCTGTGGCATTTGACCATGACTCCTAAGCCATATACTCTTACCTAACCAAAAGACCAGCTGGGCCTTTCCTGGGTGGTAATAGTGGCCCCAGCAGGAAGAACCAGGGGGAGGTTCAGAGCCTGTGATTTCAGACTGTCCTGTGAGAGTTGAGGAATGATTGTAATGCACGGAGAAGCATTCAAGGGCTAGCTAATGGAGAACACAGTGCTTTTGCAGGCAGACACTAATTAGAGCAGAACAGCCGTGAGGTCCCAGAGCACGTGTTCCCTGTGTGCACTGTCATAGGGACTGCAGGGGCCGCACCATGTCTCCACCTGCTCAGAGCCTTCAGGGCAGAGGAGGGACTTAGGAAGCCTCTGCATGGGCTAGATCCTGACACAGGCTGCCACCCACAATGCCTTGGGCCTTTTCTGTGGAAGATAAAGGTGTCCTGCGTGCTGTTGTGCAGAGTTAGGGGGCATCGCGGGAGCTGATGTGGGTTTACCCTTGCCTACCCGTGACAGGGCGGGGTGGCAGGGAGTTAGATCCTCTTCCCATGGCCCCTGGTGAATGGCTCCACCAGCTGTTGGCCCAGTCCAGTGACTTGGTCTTTGTCTGAAGCCCCCTTTCCCCTTGTTGTCTGTGGTGCAGGTGGGTGCTGAGTGTAGGGTACTGTTGGAAGCAAATGTCTGAGGAAATCTTCGCTGGAAAACTCAGCTGTCAGGCAGGAAGGAGAGGAGCAAATAAAACTCTTCCAGAGGTGACCTGCACAGTGACGTCTGTGCCTTACTCAGGGCTGAGTTCCTGAGAACCAAACTGGGCCTTTGCATTTAAAAAAAAAAAATTTATTCATTCATTTGCTTTATTTTAT